ATGGTATCTTTGAACTATTTATAAAGCACCTATTATATCTCTTTCTTTAGAATTTGTTTTTAGAATAAACTTATAAATTAAAAAATTTGATGCTATTCATAATTATTTATGTAGATAATAGCACTTAATAAAATGTAATACGATGAATATAGGAAGTATAAGATTTAACAAAAAAGTGAGAAATTAAAAGAGAATGTTATATATAGCCAGGCATATTTTAGAAATACCAATAAATGCTTAAGAACAAACCAAACAAATAAAAATAACATATTCTACACAAAGACTGAGAGAGAAGATGAAGTTGACTGTTAACACATTCGCTGCCGATCACACACTGGCGCATGCATGACTGGCGTTATTGCTGAAGAGCCGATCACACACTGGCGCATGACTAGCGTTATTGCTGAAGAGCCAATCACGCTCTTGTGCATAGTGTTGGGTGATGTCTCAGGTTCTAGTCACACACTGGCTTGAGAAAAGCAATGTCTCATTGTTTATTTTTAAGTTCAATCGACATTACATTCTGAATATATATGCTGGCATTGAGGTGGAGTGAAGGTTAGAAACTAGTTGTAAATGTATGTGGTTTGGTAAAGAAAACAACAAAGTTTTATTTTATGCAGATATCATATCCGAATAACATTCTGAAAAATACAGTTTGCAATAAATATCATTGTAATTACCTTGTAAAAAATTTCTTTGTAATACATATCTCCGTTTGTGATATATTTTCATACCAAAATAATGCATATTGTTACTTATTTTGATTCACTTTTAAATGCCATGCACCAACATGTAATGTGGCATTGCAGAAGTAATTTTACCTCTAGTGCCAATCGTGCTGGCATATACAGTCAAAAGTCGTTAACCCGGACTCGTCAGGACTTCCGGATTATAGATCATCAGTTTAAATCTCGTAAGATGGCATGCAGAAATTATAAAATTAAAAATATGAAACCATAATTTATGAAATAAAGAACAATTATGATCTAAAGGATATCAAAATTTACACACACACACACACACAAAAAAAAAAAAAAAAAAAAAAAAAAAACCTTAATATTTATTTGTTTACTTTATTAAACATTTCTTTCAATGTAAGTTTTTCAGTTGCTTCGTTTTTTATGTGATAATACATTCTCTTTAATTCTATAAACAGACATAATTTCTTGTTCAGTTATAAAGTTCCGCTGTTCAAGTCCTATAATTGTTGTGTCGAGAATACCAACTAATTTGTCAATCGAAATTGTTTCGTTTTCAATAACCTTTGTCACTTTCTTCGCTATCGGAAGCGAATTAAAATGATGAGGAATTTGATTTAAATCATATCAAAGACGGAGTACAGAGATGAAATAATACATTTAGTAAGGAATTATAAGCCAAATAAAATAAAAACATCTGCCCTGAAGATAAGGATAGTGCTGACAGATCAACTTCCAATTCATTGCACGCCGCCCTCCGGTATTAAAGATAAACAAACGTTAAAGTTTAGATAAACAAAGGATATGCCATTATCCATTTTTTTCAGCAATTCCACTTTTTGTTTGATGGACATCGGAACATGCTTTCGCTTTGTAGATCCTTTAATAGCTCCAGAATCAGAAATTCTTTTTGACATAATCGAAAGTTCAAGCTTAATTTTATAAAATTGCTCTAACAGTCTTCAAAAAATAATAAGCTGGATCCAATTAGAAGATTAAGGAACAGCGTAATCTGCAACATTAACTGAATTAGATAATTTTAGCTTAGCTTATACCGTGCGTTATACATTAAACGCGCATTTGTAAACGTATTTTGCGCATGCGCACACGCCTATTTGCAGTAAAGGTCTTAAGCGCATGCATCAATGCGAGCTTTGAGGTCCGGATTATAGATCATTCCGGATTATGGGTGTCCGAATTAACGACTTTTGACTGTAGTAATAAAATTCCATGCTTAAAGGCTTAGTAATCAATATGGTGCACATAATAATCTTTTATTAACCTCTTAAATCATATTTCTTATAATAAGTAAGTCGGCATATGCAGGGCTGTGGAGTCAGGTAGATTTTTGGGTAAAAGGAGTCGGAGTCGCTAGAAAACACGTCGACTCTGACTCCAGTTTTTGTTGGACAGTTTGAATTTGAAATGAAATTAAAGTGAGTTGAAAAAATTAATGACAAACTGAGTTAATATTTTTATTTATGGACTATATACATTAATAGTTATTTTCTATTTTATTGGCATATTAGTAAATAAATATTAGGAAGTAGAATGGATGTGATATTTGCCATAATTGATTAAACTCATTCATTTAGTTACTAATCTCATTGAATTGAGGTAAGCAGCAAGAACTCCCAAAATTGATGCCATTCTTAGGAAGAGAGCAGGAAAAGGAGCAATGCAACAGAGAAGTACATATTTGATATAATATCGGTTGTTAGGATTAAGAACTTTTTCAGAAGATGTAAATAACCCTAATATTTTACTAACAGAAAGAGTGTGGAATGATCTTGCAGAACTGGAAATGCTTCTTTCAATACCATATATAACCACAAAAAAGCTGCATTCTAAGAATTCACAAGAGGCAAGACTAGAAGAATGCAAAGTTTGTTCTTTCCGAAATGGAGGGTTTATTGCAGAAGGAATCATTTCTTCAATGAAGAAAAGAGAAACTAGTTTGCTAGATAATAAGATTGCACTGGGTTCAATATATGTAGATCCAAAACGTCGAATTTTGTTGGATGATAAACAAGTTAAAAAGGCAAAGAAAGCCATCTACGAACTGTCATTAAGAATGAAATTGTTCTCAGAACAACTGGAGTATTCAAATCAGGACAGTCAAACTGCAGATATTGCAACTGAGTCTCTATCATCTTCTTCCACTGAAGAATTCGATTTTGAAAAATATTTGGATAATATTGAAAAGGCTAAGGCAAAGTGAATGAAAATAAAGAACTAAGAGCTTTTAGATATAAAAATGAAAAAAATACAAACAAGATTTATACACGGCCTTTGAAGAAATAGATAAATATGACTGCTCTTGCAAAACACCTCTTTTAAAACTTACAAAAGTCTATCCTGAAAAGTTAAAGGAAGTAGCCGTAACAGTAACAGCTCTTCTTCCTACTCAAGTCAGTGTTGAAAGACTCTTCTCAATTCTGGAGTTTATCAAGTCGGATCTATGGTTCTCTAACAAAGAAGATCTTGCCGAAGTTTTACTGTTTCTTAGAAATTACTAATGCCAGTTTTTCCATTTCATAATAAATGCTAATTAATATAAAAAATTTGCTATGCATCAATTTTTATCTGTAGCATCTACTACTTCCTTTATATTAAAAAAAATAAGCTGTACCCATGTTTATATGTTTACATATATATAAAAGAGTTGGAGTCAGAGGTCATTTTCCCTACCGACTCCACAGCCCTGGCATATGGGTACAATCTATTTTTATGACAGCATTTACTATCAATACAACCTCACATGACTGGCAGCAAAAGCATTAAGCAGTGACTTTGGACTTCGATATTATGGTTATTTGTGAGATTGCCTTTGCTGCCCTTTTTTACTATGATTAAATTTATGCCTCAGTGAGCTGGCCTGATTATGAAGGATCAGAGTCACAAAAAAGGACGGGAAAGGAGCTGGTGAAAGAAGGGGAGGTATTTTGTTTGTGTAAATCTAAAACATCTAAATATCAAAGTAAAGCTCTCCGAAATCTAGAGTTTTGAATATACTTCATAACACACTATACAGCCCAGTACATAACAAAGGTCACTAAAGCTATATTATTAGATAAATGCCATACTATTATTAAATATGATACTATTACTAATGCAATACTAATACAATAATATATACACAATATTATAACTCTACGATTATTACATACTATTCAGTACTAGATAAATGCAGAGAAACTCGATGAGAATATATATGTAAGTATGAGAACATTTACGTAAGTACTTGTGCTTAATGAACAGCAGTAACTGTGACAGAAAGGATGCATAAGAAATGCCGCAAATGAGACGAGAGGTTTTTAATTTGAATATAAAGAACACTTGGCATTTTTTCTAAACTAATATATATATATATATATATAAAATTAAGGACAGGGAAAACTGATTAAGGATTGATTGTGCCTTCCAAAAAAGGATGGTTGGAAACCCTAATTACTGACAATAATTTATGAAACTTATTTTATAACTTGGGTTAACAGATAACTCAAGCATGCATAAAGTAAAAACTTACAATTTTCAGTATGCTTTTAATGTATAAGTATCAATCATTAAAAAAAAAAAAAAAAAAAAAAAAAAAAAAATATCTTGAAACTTTTATTATTAAAATTGCAAAAACATAACAATTTATAATAAGTTATTAAAGTTGTTATTAAATTAAATTATAAGTTAATTAAGTTACAGGCTATACGAATTATTAAATTATAAAGAAACAGCAATCTGACTTTAGCATGCCAATTTGAGCTTTATTAACCTGAAACAATTTTAAACTAATCAGTTTTTGATACATCTACTAGCTTATGAATTTACAAAAATTTAGGACTAAAGATAAAATCTCATTTAGAATAAGCTGTTCAAAAAGTGAAATAGAAGCTTTTTTAAAGGTATTAATATACTTCATCAAAATAATCTACATTAAAATTTGTGCATTTATTTGACACAGAAAACCTATTATCATTTGTTCACAAAGCTGATAAACAAATATTATTCTCAAGTCCCAAATTTCTTATTTTGGTAGAACTTGAAATCACTTTGCTGAAAACAAAAAAATTTCTTAGGTATTAATTAAAAAAAAAAAAAAAAAAAAAAAAAAAAAAAAAAAAAAATCACAGCTTATAATTATTATAGATAGAATATATTTAGTTGAATATAAATTTAAAAAACAACAAACTTGAAACCAGTGTATTAGGTTACACATATTCAGACATGTTTAAACATATCATGTAAAGTATAATTGTACGTATTAGACAATAACTTATGGTTCAATAAGATCAAACAACTTGCCATTCTGTTTCATGGAAGATACTCTTGCGGGTGGAGGAGGTGCCAAGTTAATAGACGGTACAGCTTTCATTTGAGATGGAGGAGCAGGATGCACAGGAAACTGATGCTGTGGTGGTGGTGGAGGAGGTGCAGGAGCCCTTGGAGGTGGTGGTCTTACTGGTGCACCCCTATTACTCGTTGCTGTGGCACGATTTGGGGGTGGAGGAGGTGCAATGTTCATTTTATTCAACTGATTTGGGGAGGAACTTGCGACCATTTGATTGAGGTCATTTGGGGCACTATTATTCCTTGGAGGTGGAGGTGGTGGCCCTATGCTTTTTGCAGTTGGTTTCTGGGCAACATTATTTGCAACAGACAGCTTGTTAGCAGCAAATCGAGAATTATGACTTTCACCAACACCAAAGCTTTGTCTCCTCAGTATATTTGGGGGTTTTGAAGGTGGAGGTGGTGGTGCTGTCTGAGGAGCAGAATTATATTTAGGTGGTGGTGGTGGTTTTACATTAGGTGGCGGACGAGTAAGGCGAGGTCGTTGACCGAGATTAGTCTGTGAAGCAGATCGTTTAACAGTAGTATGTTTCACAGGACTATCTGAGTTTGTATGGTCTGTTTCAGTCTTAGTATTGGATCTAAAAACTGGTTTCTGGCTTGCTGGAGGAGGAGCTGGAGCAGGACCTTTAACAGCAACATCATCTGGGAAGTTAGGATTTCCTGCAGGCAGGCTAGTATGTTCATGATTTTCCAAGTTTGTTGTTTGAGATGAAGTGACACCTGATGTCACACGAGGCTTTGATACAGGACTAGGAGGCTGTGAACGGCTAATATGGCCAACACGTAAATGATCCAGTGATGATGCACTATTAGTGGATTTGATGTTTTGTATAACCAATGATGACAATGGAGAACTATCTCCTGAAATTAAAGAGATCATTCACTTATTTATAGTACACATAATTTTGAGTCTTCACTGGGTACAGGGAAATATTTAACATTGTAAAAATGAATGAATTACATATTATTAAATGATCAATTTATAAATTTCTCTCTTAAACTGAAATGATTATGAATTGTCTGAGGAATAAAAACTACAGAAATTCTTAAAATGAGCAAATTGTGATTATGATTAATTGATTAAATATATAAAATCTCAAACAATAATAAAATATATAAAACAAATATGTCCAAACCACTTTTTTTATAAAAAAATAATATGACAGCATATAGCTACTCTTCATATGAACAAATGCTGTCCAACATCAATTATAAACTATAGTTCTTTTTTGGGTAACTATTTTGATATTAAACTGAAACTTATGAATGCTGGAAATTACATAATTTCAATACAAGAATTTTTTAAACAAGTATAAAAATAATACAGCAAAACAAGGTTCCAATTATGACTGGGACCACACTCTGTCTAGGTAATAAAGCTGCCAATTGTTAGGTCAAAATATTTATTCTAATGCGAGCAACAGGATTTTATTTTTTCATCTGATTCTTTATTTCTCTTCGGCACTAAATCAATATTTATTGCTATCAATATTTACGCCTACTGAATATCATAACCTTACACCAACTTGGCAAATATTTTTTTTAACTTTTCACTTTCATCATCGCATGACTTATCAACTCACAGCAGCTTCAGAATTGACTCAGTAATGTCTTTAAAAATTTTTCTTTTTAAATATCAGTAACTGAACACCAAACAGCATGATAGCCTTTTATGCTGGCATTATACTCGACGATTACAAATTTCAGCCAACTAATTTCAGCGTTAAAGATTGTTGACGAGGTGAAATTTAATAGAAATTTTAAAAACAAACTTTGTAAATGATATTCATTGTCCATTTAGTGTTGTTTGAAATAAGAATAACTAATTTGTTGTTTTGATAAACCTTTTTTTGGTAAATGCAGCTGGTGATCTATTAGTCATCCCCTGCTAATGCAGTGTGCATTTGCCATTTGAATTTAGTGAGAATTCTCAACATGATAATTACAGGACTTGAAAAATGTAATTTTGTAACTCAACAAAAATTAAGTTTATCTATAAAATTAAAGAGAAAGCATTAGCACAAAAAATGAAATGCTTCCCATAAAGCGATAAATACTTCATTATTTCATAAACAATTACTCCAGATTTTTACTTTTATAATTTCTACATGTCATGCTACTAGATTTTAACTGATGATCTAAAATCTGAAAGTCCCAATCTCAGACTTCTGTACTGCAGTCAATATGGATTTTACTGATGCATATTTTGACTTGCATTTGCCTGATACTAGTATTAGGAGATATTTTTATGGGATCAAAATATAAATAAGTTTAATAACCAAATAATTGTGCATGAAATCAAGAAATATGTATAGAACAAAGAAATGATTTCAGAAAAATTTTTTTGTTTATATTCCAGTTGTGTTTATGAATTTGTAAAAACTGTTCAATAAATCATTTATAGGAGTTTTAATAAATCATTTAAAAAATTTTAACAAGCAGGAAAATTACCTGGTAACAAATTATTCAGTAAATTATTGAATTTAGAAAAATGTGTAACAGCTGAAAAACAATTGTGACACTAAATTTAACTATTCTTACAACGTCAGTTTTAACATAAAACTAATATCATAAGGAATAGGGGCAACCAATTTTACACATAGAAGAATGAGGAAGTTCCATCACAATTTAGATGGAGAATAACACTTGAACATAGGCACATGTACCTTTGCTAATCTGCACATGCACATCGTGGGGAAAAAAAAAAAAAAAAAAGGAGGGGGTGGTGGACAGCTCTTTATCTTCGGTTCTACTGGGCTGATTGACGAAATTCAAATTGTGTTTTTCATGTCTCGTAAGTGCGACTTAGGACATATATTAGATTTATATACAGCATTATTCTAAACTAGGTATTTTGATACAAAATGTATTTTGACAAAAAATTGTACTTTTTCTCAAATAACACATAAATTTTTTTTCCATATTTCGATTCTACAACTCAGATTATGTATAGATATTAAATTTTGTAATTTTTGGTGAAAAATTTAAAAATTTATCTTGCAAGACTTTTTTTATTTTGCACCAACAATAATTAATTCACTTGGCAGAATTCCTAATTTATAGTAACCTACTTACTTTCCTTATTTTTCATTGATACACGAGAGGGAAAAAAAAAAAAAAAAAAAGGTCCATCGTTCATTCTTTCAAATAATTTTAACAAAATGCGTAAACCACATTTTTGTTATTATTGCTTATAATAAATGGCCCCAAAAGGTAAATTCATGTTTATGTTAAAAGGTCCATCATTCCTTCTTTCAAATAATTTTAGAAAAATGCATAAACCCCATTTTTGTTATTATTGCTTATAATAAATGGCAAATTTCAAAACTTCCCCAAAATGTAAATTCATGTATATCTTAGGAAATTTTATATATAACTCTAATTTTTTTGCAGCTATGCTTAGAAATACATCTACTTTAAGATTAAAAAAATTTTATAGGTTATAATTCAAACTATTTTTTGAAAAATTTGTAAAAAATATTTAAACATACAAATTTTTAAAATAAATAATAAAAAATGTGCGAATTATATTTGGATTAAGCCTAAATTTTGAATTCTTGAAGAAGGAATCAAGTACGTTTAATAAAAAAAAAAAGAGATATTCTGTACAATTTGGAATGAAAGGGAAAAAAGCATTAACTCACTGGTGTATAAATGAAGGTTTACTTAGTAGTCATTAGAAGTGTCCTGTTTGTATGAAGGAAAGCATATGGTTGAATGTAATGATCGTTCAGATGGCTTTGAATGGGTTTTTCGCAAGAAATGTCACCACCAGTCTGGCACTACAGAGGATATTTTTTTACTCCTAATTTTGGTAATTTATGTGGTGATGACAATAAAAGTTCAGATAGTTTTAGAATGTTTTTTAATGCTGCTAAGGAATTTTGTGTGCCACAGCCTGAAGACCCAGAAATTTCTAAATATGGTAAGTCGATATTTCCTTTTTGTAGTGCGTATATGTGATAAAGATGTACTATTTAAAATGCAGTTTATTGAGCTTCAATTGGCTACATATTTTGTTAAATTTTGGTGATGAGTGACATTATATGACATCATCATTCTCCCGATATTTTTTGAACTGAAAATAGATTGATGTGTACATGGACAAAGCAAGATATCTAGTACCGGCCCTCAATAAGCCTTAAGTATATATGGGAGTTTATTTATTCAGGGCTTAGATAAGCCTTAAACATGTGCAAGAAATAGACATAAGTATAATAAATAACTAAACTAATACAATTCAGACTTAATTGTCTCGGAGCGTGATAGAAACAAGATAAAATTTAGCGGAGCAACTTGTCTCTAGCCGCCAATCTCATGATACATAACCAAATATGTATAGTGAACGATAGCTAAATTTTATGATCATAGCTGAGAATTTTAAAGGTTTTCAGATATCGCAAACCAAAGGTGAAATTTTTGAATTAAAGGATTTTATAAAGAAATGTGGAGAAGCGGTAATTAATGAAGATGATATAAAAGAAGTTTTTCATTGTGATGGCAATGTTCCTCAATCATCAATCAATTGATGGCAAAATTTGTAGTATGGTTCTAGATCCAGAAAATACCACTAACGATAGTGAAGAAAGTGACAGAGTTTACTGAAAACGAAAAAATTTCGATTGACATGTTATTCAGAATTCTTGACACAGCAATTACAGGACTTCAGCAATGTAACGGAACAAGAAATTACGCCTGTCTGCAGAATTAAAGAGAAAGTATTAGCACAAAAGACGAAGCAACTTACACTGAAAGAAATGTTTAATAAAGTAAACAAATATTAAACTTTTTTTTTAAGTATTTATGATCAAAATCATAAATGCTTCATTATTTCATAAATCACGATTTCCTATTTTTAATTTTATAATTTCTACATGCCATCTTACTAGATTTAAACTTATGATTTATTATCAGGAAAAAATCCCAAATCTATAATCGTGGAAGTCCAGAGATCTCGGACTTTGTATTGTATCAGTTTACATTTAATAAGATGGCATGTAGACATGGCAAATTGGTAACTTCACTCAAGCTTTCATGTAGAAAAATGCTATCTGACCTAAACAATAATCTTCCACAACCACCATTCAAAGGCCAAAAGAGAGATTTTGCATAAATTCAGTGTCAATCAATGTATTATAACTGGCCACTGTGCTTTTTTCCCTAGCCAGCAGGTGTTTGAATAGGATATGCAAGTTTTTGAATAGGATATGCAAGAAGATCGGTTATTGTGAAGAAATTTACTGCGCCACCTGGCTTTTTTCTGTTGAGAAAGCATTTAATAAATATTCTCTATTTCTTGACTCTGTAAGGCAGGGTGGAAATTTTTTAAATATTACGTTATTTTATTTATTTCTTCTGAGGTTAAGATATTAGACCATTCCAGGTGTTGTATGTCTGTATTTTGGACTTCATACATATTACACAAGCTAATAGATTAAGTTACATTACTTGAATATGGCAAAAATATACAAGGGCTCTCTGCCTATGAGAGATTCTTTAATGGAAGATTTGCCAAGGTAAACTAACTTTCATTCATATTATACATCGAGGAAATCGTAAAATTCAACCATGCAGCCTCGGCCTAGGTTTAAATTCAGATCAAGATACCAATATTTAGTGGTTTTATTAACCACTTGGTCATAGGTGGAACCAAGGCAGTAAGTAGAATTACACTGGAGAAACAGAACAAAAATACATTATCAATAACTTTCTAGTACAGTCAAAAGTCGTTAATTCGGACACCCATAATCCGGACCTCAAAGCTACAAACTTTCTGCGCATGCGTCGAATTGATGTCTGCACACACGTCGAATTTAAAGGTCTTACGCATGCGCGTAAGACCTTTACCGCTGCAAATTTGCATGTGCGCATGCGCAAAATACATTTACGAATGCGCGTTTAATGTATAACGGACGGGATAAACTAAGCTAAAATTATCTAATTATCTATTTCAGTTAATGTAGCAGATTGCTTTGTTCCTTAATCTTCGAATTGGATCCGGATTATTATTTTTTGCAGACTGTTAGAGCAATTTTATAAAAGTAAGCTTGAGCTTTCGATTATGTCAAATAGAATTTCCGATATATATTTACTAATATGTAAAGGATATACAAAGTGAAAGTATCTTTCGAAGTCCATTAAACAAAAAGTGGAATTGCTGCAAAAAATGGATAAAGGCATATTCTTTGTTTATCTAAACTTTAACGTTTGTTTATCTAAACTTTGTTTATCTTTAAAGCTGTGGCGGCGTGCAATGAATTGGAAGTTGATCTGTCAGCACTATCCTTATCTTAAGGCCAGATGTTTTTATTTTATTTCGCTTATAATTGCTTACTCAATGTAGTATTTCATCTCGATGTACTCCGTCTTTGATATGATTTAAATCAAATGCCTCGTCATTATAATTCGCTTCCGATAGCGAAGAAAGTGACAGAGGTTATTGAAAACGAAAATTTCGATTGACAAATTAGTTGGTATTCTCGACACAGCAATTATAGGACTTGAACAGCGGAACTTTATAACTGAACAAGAAATTATGTCTGTTTATAGAATTAAAGAGAATGTATTATCACATAAAAAACGAAGCAACTGAAAAACTTACATTGAAAGAAATGTTTAATAAAGTAAACAAATAAATATTAAGCTTTTTTTTTTGTAAATTTTGATACCCTTTAGATCATAATTGTTCTTTATTTCGTAAATTACGGTTTCATATTTCTAATTTTATAATTTCTGCATGCCATTTTACCAGATTTAAACTGATGATCTATAATCCGGAAAAATCGTTAATCCGGAATCGCCGAAGTCCCGATGAGTCCGGATTAACGACTTTTGACTGTATTAAAGTTTTTATCTGCAGATACATGTTGCTTTTTACTGGATTTTTATCAGTTCAGTCTGCTTTAATTCATGATTGTATCAAATACACATAATCATATGAGGAACAACTTCTCAAGTCTATGTAAATAAATATACAAGGAATGAAATACCATGTTTATGCATGCATTTAACATATGAATGCAATTACAGTACACAAGCTACCATAAAAAACAAAGAAATAAAATTACCAGATCTTGGAGTTGTTGGTCTTAGTTTTGGAATGCCTTGGGCAAACAAACCTCCAGGAGGAATAACAGGAAAAGGACTACTGGATTTTAAATCAGAAGTATTTCTTTTTGCTGTAGATCCATTAGATGATGATTTTGCTCCTATTAAAACATATCAGCAATAAAATTATATTCATGCATTCAGTATTTATTATATTTTTTTAAATTAATGCAGAAATCAGTTTATATAAAAGAATCTTATACACAAAAATTAAAAAAGCAATTTCACAAATTCTCTAAGAGTTCATATTATACAGAATCCTGAAGTTCCTACAAAAGTAATGAGTTATTTTCTTGATTATAATTACAAAATGCCTCTGCTTTGTTTTACCTGGAGCCTTTTCCTTTTCAATCTACTTATTTATTATTTCTTGATTATAATTACAAAATGCCTCTGCTTTGTTTTACCTGGAGCCTTTTCCTTTTCAATCTACTTATTTATTATTTGATGAGATTAATTAACACCCTGGCATTACCAAAAGTACAATTGATCTACTCCCCGAGACCGTATAGCTTCCTTCTTTTAGTGAAGAGGAGAATCCCTGGTATAACAACTTATCATTTAACACAACACACACTAAAAATAACCATTGCTTTTTACAACTACTGCCAATATTTAAAATGCATCTTCATATTTTAATATGTCAGACAATTAACCAGAGAACATACCCTTTTTATTTTAATTTTTAATTAAATTACAAAATATTACAAAACGTTTAATAACAGTAACCACATTATTTTCTTATACATCAAATTCTTGAAGGATTAGAACATCAATAGCAATTTACTCATATTTATATAAATCCATATAAACTGCTATTGTGTCTTAACTCCTTTAACTTTTTATGCAAAAAGTATGAAGAACTGCTCCAAAATTTTTATTATAAGTTTACCAATGTGAAAAAAGTATAAAATGAATTTTCAATATAATGCCTTTAAATGTTTTGATATTTTTCACACAATTAACATATTTAACATATCTTTTACCATCAACAAGGGGAGAGCTTCTGTCATTGGTTTCTACTCTTTTTAATTGAGTTCCTTTTCTAATCTGAGATAAGAGAGCATTTCTATCAGGAGCCGGCTCACAGTTGTTCAACTTGTTATGTGCCAAATGTGATCCACCAAAACCTTGTTTGGGCAGAGGTGGAGGTGCAGGTGGTGGAGGTGGCATTGTCAATTCTGACAATCACCCTTCATTTTCTACAAAAAAAAAAAAAAAAAAAAAAAAAAAAAAAAAAAAAGTACATTTGTGGGTCAAGATGCAGATGTAATTTTTAGTGTACAAATTAAATAATCATGATTATATCAAAAAATCCTTCTGCAATTCTTGAACATGAACATTAAAATAAGATTTATTTTACAATAAAGTTTTACACAAGTCCTAATACAAAATCTACCATAGGAAATCGCAAAACATTACAAATTTCGTGTACAATATATGAAAACTCAGTTATTACACCATAATATTATTCAATCTCATGCTTCTTTTACATTTAAATTGCTAAGCAAATATCTAAACACTTTTGGATACATCACTATACCAAGCAATTAGACTGAAATGATATGATTTTGCTGCTAGTGAAATAGGTGCTCCCTTATTTATGATGGATTATGTTCTTTATGGCCTAATAAAATCAGAACGAATTGAAAACATAGTAATGTTATTGATACTAAACGTATGATCCGTCACAAAAGTAATGTGCAATGTAAAAAATACACATGTTTGCATGTAAATAATTATAAATTTCTTACTATAGCTTGATACTAGATGGTGTTTATATTCTGATAAAGTTTGTAAGCTTGGAAAGAAATTATTGCAAATCATCTTTACCATGGATTGTAGATGCTCATCGGACAATCGAGTTCTTATCAGTTTCGAACTGTGAAAAAAAAAAGCTGTTCATATATAAATGTATTTCCAAACAAGTGCAAAAATTTGTAACTGAGATCATTTATTTTTTAAAGAACACAAATAAAATTTAATGAAATCTATACCTTCAAATTTCTGAAAGAGATTTATTTCTTACTGTAATGTACTCCATCTATAGATTTTCTGACATTTTAATTTGTTCATTTTTTATGGAAATGAAAATAACATAAACTTGAACTTCAAATAACAAAAAATACAGAAATATTTGGAAAACCATATTTTCAACAAATACATAATGTCTTAGTGTGCCGCATAAAATATGCTTTGGGTGACCAAGTGACCCATGGGCTGCCAATTCCCAGACCACAGATCTATTGCATTCTTTCAGATGAGACTTTAGGTAATTTACAAAACTCTGGGTTATTTCACCCTTATGAGCAAACATAGTTGTCTTGAAAAAGCTACCAAGTTTGTCTGTTTTTCTAAAGATATGACCATTTTTTTGTTACCAGTATTCTTTTCATATGCAAAGCATCTACTATATTTATTGCATATTATTATTTTGAAAAATAATCATACTTCACTATTTAAAGCATAGTTTTGAAAAGTACTGCTCTCATATCAGCCCAAAGCTGAGGATGCATAAGTTGGCAACTGAGGATGTGGACAGTGACCAAGATATACATTACATTCAGTGCTTATATAATCTTAATTACAAATTTCTCTTATTCTCAACTGACATTTTAATAATCTACAAAAATTAATATACTATATGACACATAAGTCAACAAAGCACACCAAAAAATCCAGTTCTTCAATTTTTAAACATAAATAAGATACTTGATTAATTAATGACAGCAATTCATTACAGCAAACATGAAAAGTCCAGAACTCCATAACTACAAAACATGCATAAATTCTGTAGAAAGATATGATCAGTTAACAGCAAAATATTCACCTCAACAACAACACAAAACACTTTAGGAAAATTCAAACTTGATTAATTTATAACTGATTATTGTAAAAACTGAATACTTTCTATATTCCTGTACTGTTTATATATATTAGAATTTTACATTTAAATTTACATTTCAACAAATGTATACTTATGCTACTGCTTCATTACTTTTATTATCCACATACGTACTACAAATGCGATTATTTTCAAGATGAAAAGTATCAACTAATAGTTATAACACAAAAATACGAAATACAATGTTGGAAGACATATCAGCTGTTTTAAAAAATGGAGCAAAAAGAAAAAATAACTTTTTATCAAATTCCAAATACAATATTTTTGCATGTATGCATTATATAGTCATTTCCTAAAATAACTAAGTTAATTACAGTAGAAACTCCTTACATAACTATATATAATGAAATATTTTTCAAACAAATAATACCGCATTAATTCTCTTTCAAATTTTTCATTCCGCGTAAGATTATTAATTCAGTTACCCATATAACATTTAATTATTTTAAATAGTGTTTATTTAATTCTGATATAAAACCATACAGAAGAAATTACTAAAATAACGTCACTTTTCATTCACCATAAAACTGAATCCTGTTACACTGATAGCAAAGATACAATTTAAATAGACCACATAAGCAAAAAGTTGGACGAGGAAATTAGGAAAAAATCTTCACGTTAACTTGACTACATAGTAAAAGTACAAAAAGATGAATATTTACCCATAATTTCACTATGAAAATAACTCATTTTTTGAAGATATGATTTTTGTACTTCCTAGAAGAAATCTTTTTTTCATGTGACACTTCAACACTTCCAATACATTTGAAATGAACTACGGTAACACAATTTAAAAATTAAACTTTAAACAAAAATTTCTAAAAGATTTATTCTTTTAATTAGTATTACATACTGTAAGATACAATTATTTATTTGTTATTGAAAATAGTGATGACTTAAGGCCTAGGCCCATTTCTCATAACATATCTTATCACAACTCGTAGCTTACTACATACAGATACAACTTACAGCGATGCCAAAGTTCAGTTTTTAATGCGTAATAGTTTCTGATTCTCACGGCATAACTATTCGGAATTTGTTTCATAAAAAATTTTTTTTTTCACAGTAAAACTTTTTTATCGCAAAATTTAAAATTAAAAAATTCTTAATTTTTCTTCGTTAAAATTGATATTTAAAAGAAAATTTGAGAATTATTATCTAAAGCACATTCTGAAATTCAAGAAAAGTCCAGAGACAATAAAATGTCATTAGTTCCTGTACAAAATGTATCAAATTTCGGGCGGTATGCTTTTGCAAACATACTTATTCTATATATTTATTCTAACATTTAAAAAATAGCATATAGGCAGACTTCTCTTAATTCATAAGTTCTTGGAATTTTTAAAATTTTAATTCTTTTTTAACTGATCTGCCTGACTACTAAGAACATATAGTGAATTTGAGTTTCAGAAAGCAGCGCCTTCTTTTACTCTGTATCACGTGAAGAACATCAGTAAAGCAAAAAGACGAAAGTAAATGTCAGATGGCCGCCATCAGTCGACGAAAAAGGTGAGTGTCTGGTTGAAGGTCCAAATCAGTGAACTGAAGAATCTAGTATAAGTAAAAAATGTTAAGGATGGAGAACGTCAGATGGATATTTGTGCTTTTCTCTGGGAAATGGAGAACATCTAAGAGAGTTGATGCAGTTGTTAGGATGAGTGAGAACTGAATAGAAGAAATTTTTGGCAAGTTTTTGAATATAATTTTGAATTGTATATACTTTGAGATCACGGTGAATATAAGAATTTGGAATGAACCATGGCGCGTTGATGATCTCTCTGAGTGCTTTGTTTTGAAGAACTTGGATGTGTTGAAAGTGAGTTTTGGCAGCGTGGCCCCAGACAGGATTAGCATAGAGTAATGCTGGTCGAAGTATAGATTTATATAAGAGGAGTTTATTAGAAACGGACATATGACTTCTTCTGCCAAGATGTGGGCGCATAGTTGCAAGCGTGATATTGATTTTTTGATTGACAGAAACTGTTTTAAAGAATTTTCAGGTCACTAATGTGGAAAAGAATTTGAATATATTCGTTCCTAAAATACTGGCATAAGTTGTCAATCAAAAGTTATTTTGGAGAGCTACATAAAATTTTTGTGGCAGACACTGGCATTTCTGGTAGATAATTTCAGTTACGTGATCATCATTAAACAATTGATTATTAGTAAATTCGAATGATGAATGTCGTGTTAATGATCGTTGACAGTTTTGTAGCGTCACATCATAAAGAAATTTTATAGTTTGACCTTCTTTAATTTAAAAGGTTTGAAATCTAGGATTCATACTGTATGAGAATAAAACGGTTCAAACTATCTGCTAAAAGTTACTCCTTATAGAAGCTTAAAATTTTCACAGTATTATTTTCTTGGGACGACAAAACTTTAGTTATACTAAACTACAGAATGGTAGCATTCAACCTCATTAGGCTTTGATATCAAATCAAGCATTTCATCGTATTCTTAGAGGAAAACATTTTCAGCAACCAGCAGCTGAACTTGAAAATAACGAGTTTCTCCGAAAATGAGACTAAAAAAAAGATAAGTCCTAGCAGGATTTTTCAAGGCACTCATAAGCCCTGAAGGCCAGCCGGGCACTTTATTGCGATAGACCAAGTGCAGACGCAACACACATGCACATTTGAAACAAACGGACGTGGTTGCGACAAATTAGAATCTTCAGTATTATCTTAATTACAAATTTCTCTTATTCTCAACTGACATTTTTAATAATCTACAAAAATTAATATACTACATGAAAACGTCGAGTTAACAACGGACGTTTAGCACTACGATTAATAATAAATTTGAAGTATAATAAATTTTGTAGCTCAGACAAAAGGAGTGCAAAAAGAAAGAGCTGTTCCCTAGAGTACAAGAAAAGAATTGTGGAAGAATCTAGGAATAAAAATCTCACAGTTTTCTGCAAAGAGAAGTTGGATCTAAGAACTATCCGGAAATGGATAGCCAACAGATCGACAGAAGCCTAAGTGTGGATTAGGCCGACAATCATCATTGCCTTATGTGGAACTTATCATCTGTGATTCTGTGAATGGTATCCGACAGAAAAACAAAGTGTCTGGTTGTTCTCAGGTCTGATATTCAAGCATTTGCTCTTGCAGTGGTACCACAGCTAGACTATCGCCAGATGAATTCAAAACATCACAACAGTGGGTGGATGGCTTCCTTCAACGATAAGGACTGTCGCTAAGAAGATCAACAACACTGTTCAAATTGGAAGATACTGAAGTGATTAAACATGCACTTTGATTTAAGTGTTTCTTTGATGGCATCGACGTTTCTAAGTACCAAATCTAGAGTATGACTGCTATGGATAAAACTGGAGTGCTTATGAGGACAAGGGTTTTAAACTATCATTGATCGAGTTAGGGCTATGCGATATGCTTTCCTTCAACTGGTTGCGAAAGTGCACGAATTGTATGTATTTTGGCAATTCGTCTTGACCGAAAGAAAAACCCCTTCTAATCATTTCTAAGGACAAGAAGGAAGAAATCGATTGTGTTTCAGGTATTTAAGTTCTTGAGGCTGAAGAAGATTGGTGAACGCAAGCAAAAATAAAAAAATGGGACGATGTATTTCTACCACTTGTTTTCAGAGGTGGCCAAACTTGTATACTAGTGCGGGGATTCTGCCAGAATTCACGGCGTTAAAACCAGGAAGAACTTCTTTGCAAAAGTATGAATCGATCAAATAATGATACCTGCAGAAATGACTACATATCTCGAAACTGTAGGTATTGTAATAAACAAGCTGACCATTTACGTATGGAAATCAATGATTACTTTGAAAATAGAATGCAGCGAAATTAATAAGGAAGCTTTGAGAAGAATAAGCTACAAGATGTCGTTATTTGGATGAAGAATGCATAGGATAAAATAACTGACAGCTGTATTGCCAGTGCTCTACGAGCAAGACGCATGGACAAGAAGAGCTCATTTGAGGAGAGCTGTGTTTCTCAACCTGAGAGGCTAGTGCCAGTGGTCTTAGAGAAAATGGAAATCCAAAAAACTCAGGCTATAATTCGTGATTTGAAGCTTTATGAGGATGAATTTGAAGTTTTATGAATATGCATTTTTCACTCAGTACCCTTGTGGACTAAAGCAGAACTCCCTGGATTCTCAGCTTCAAGACATGTTGGTTAAGAGAGGCTTCTCTATGAAAAACTATCAACAATGTCATTAGAAAATGTTCACGAAAACGACATGGGTGTATTACAATAAATGATTTTCTTCATTTTTCTATGTTTCTTGAACGTGAATAAAGGTGTTTATTGAATTTGAATAAATTTATTTTTTGAACATGATCGATGTTTATTATTATGCACGAAAAATAAGATATCCTCTTAAAATAAGCCCTAGTGTGTCTTTTGTAGTAAAAATTAATATAAGGCCGGGACTTATTTTCGGAGAGACACAACAGATGTTCTTATTCTGAAATAAGTATTAGTATTCATCGTCTATCCTATACTGACGGTTGCTTATCTAGTTGCAACAGCTAGTATTCAAATTAATTAAAACGCTTATATCTGAACCTCCCAAAGTTATGTGAAATCATATTTCGGCTGAAATACACAAAAAGACTCTACAAAACACATGTTGCAAATGATAAACCTTATTTTTATGAATGTTAAATAAACCAGTTGGTTATAAAACAACTTTCCTTGTAATACAAGCTCCTAGTAGCCACTTGGTTCAACGATATTTCTCTGAAATGTCCATGTGGCATCTAAATGACAACAATGATGTATCAAGATCGGTAGAAGCAACTGAATTATGAAATCAGTGCCTGCAACGTTTTACATTATGCACATAGTCTCAACACCATAATACAGATTATTTGTTTCAGAAGGCCGCAGGTAGTCTTTCTTACTTCATGTTTCATACTTTATGTTACTGTGTTGTTCCCATTTCTCTTCTTTACCAGTGCTTTTCGCTCGGCGTTTTTCGAGATATGCTTATCATGCCAACGCCATTTTTCATTTTTCACGATGCCGACCACATTTTGATGCAAAAAAAAAAAAAAAAAAAAAAAAAAAAAAAAAAAAAATTACTACTGGAAATTTTCAAAACGTTTTCTTTGTAAGGCCAACCAAGAGAGCTCGAATATTCTTATTAAACCCTTAAGGACCAGCACCAGGAGAACGAAGCACAGTTACGGTATCGGATCCGCTGAAATGGATCGTCGCCACAACCCGCGCATTTTCAGCAGTTAAGCCTAATTTTGCACACACACACACACACAAATATATATATATATATAAATATATATATAAAACCAGCATTTTAATATTATGACTTCAATTTTTGAAGTTGCGTATTTAATGTACTTGTTTTTAATGTGTATTAATATGAAGAATATCACATTAATAGAAATAAATTAAACATGCAAAATACTAAAATCATAACTATGCACACAGAAATAAATACTATAAACATGAAAAAAAAATTACAAATACAAAATTAAAAAAAACTAAAGAAGAATTACCTGTAGGTAATTAAATTCCAATTTAAAAATTCTGCTCTGTTTGAAATAACTCAAAACAAGGCTCGACACACTGTCCTACATTGCATATTTTGCACTCAAAATATGTTGTTTGCTTTTGCTTGTTTTAGCGCACACAACGCATCTTCTCCTACCTTTATTACCTTTTCCGTCAATGTAAATTTCAGAAACTGTCTTCCAGTTAGACGGAAAGGTGGAGTGTCCGATGATTTTGAACAAATTTTTAAGTTTTTAAGTAAGGTCTCTTAGCCATGGCTAACGGAATGAAATTGAATATAATCCCCAACACATATCCCAAAACGTCTTCAAAAGGCACTCAGAAATATTTGATCCTTGAACCCTGTGTGACATCAGGTTTATATTAGAAAATTTCCTGCTTTTTTAAATCGAAAACTGTGTCACGATGACCGGAAAGTGATCAAGGAAAGAACCCA